TTTAAATTTTTCTATTTAATTTTCTAAAAATCCCTAGATCTCTAGTTACTTTTAATACCAACCTAATTTTTTTTCCCCCAAACTTTGATTGGTACCCCTCCCTATACTTAATACATTGAGGCGTGACGTCACCGCAGGAGCAACTTCCGCTCTAGAACCGGCATTCTTACACTACTGATACCCGTGGTGGAGATAATCTGATTCCCTCTCGACATGTCACCTTCACATTTGAAAGAAGCCCCTTTTATGAGTTCCCAAGAATTTATAATAGATTACCCTCGTCTATTAGATTTCAGGAGTGCCCCAAAAAATTTAAACAAGTTGTAAAACGGTACCTCTTAGACTCTGTGTTCTATTCAAGACAGGAATTTTTAGATAGGTAGTGATTTTTATTAGTTATAACGTATTATATGTATAATTTACTATTATTGTATTTTGTTTTATTGTTCTATGTATGTTGACTTATCACATCTACTTATGTAGCCCACGTGATTGAATAAATATTTAATTCTATTCTAAATGTAAAAGATGGAAGAAAATCTTCTTGCCCCATTTTCTTGAAATTAGATTTTTAGCTAAATATTGATCTACGCGATCAACACCTCCTATTGTGTCATTGTAATCTTCCTCTCATCGTTTGCGTCTTCAGACGGTTNCATCATTCTTGAAGACACCGCCCCAGCATAAGATGGTGCCATCGCACCCACCACCGGTACCCTTTGCATCGCTTTCAACTCTTCAATAACACGCTTATTCACCTCATTTTCTATCACCAACTCATTAAACAATTCCTCTACTTTATTAAACCTCTCCAATATTGTCAGCCTCGTGTTCTTTGAAAGCCTGAACGGGTCATTAATCAGAAAGCCCTGCAAGTCCTGCTTCAACATACGCATTCGCTCAAGTGGACTACTAACATCCTTTTCCGGCTCCACTGAGATATCTAAGTCACACTTTTTTCTCTTTCTTTCGGTCATCGTCGGCAACGACGATGCCCTTTCTCTAGGAATTGCCCCTTGCTCTTCGTACTCGGACATCAGTGGACGAACAACCTCCTCTATACGCTCAACTAATTGCGCCACCTTCGGCGGAGACCTAGCCACATTGCCTCTTCTTCCAAACGCTAACTGTTCCTCCTCTGCCATCTTTGACGTACCTGCTTTTCCTTTCTCCGACTCCTTTTTGTCCTTTCCTTCGCTACCTCCTTTTTTCCACCTTCCTTCTTGGGATTGCTTATCTTACTCATCTTGCACTATAATTTTTCACTTCACCCGTGGAACCCACCAACACTGATGGCACTATCGCGAGCGCCGGCGGCAAATCCGCCGACTACCCAGCCCTACGGGTTAAGTGAAATACCCCTTACAGTAAGAAGTAACATGAAGTAACATGAGGGTTTTCTTTCCCAGCTAAAACCACGTTTTGTTTAACCTCCCCTGAAACATTTGGTAGGCCAGACTTCGAGAAATGTTTCAAGGGATGCCCATGGTTTTTAATTTACTCACAGGTAGGCTCACCATACTTTGGCTAATGAGTTGACGATCAGGATATGTCGTATTAAAGAGCTCAACTACTTACTACGCCATTTTTTGATACTTAGGAAATTGTTTAAAGTGATTAGTGGTTAAAAAATTTAAATCTTCAGACCCGTTTTAGGAATTTTTCGGTAACCCGTTTGTAACGATTTCATCGCCTATATCCGTTATTTTACGGACACACTGTATAATTTACTATTGTATTTTGTTTTATTGTTCTATGCATGTTGACTTATCACATCTACTTATGTAGCCCACGTGATTGAATAAATCTAAATGATGGAAAAAAGATGGAAGAAAATCTTCTTGCCCCATTTTCTTGAAATTAGATTTTTAGCTAAATATTGATCTACGCGATCAACACCTCCTATTGTGTCATTGTAATCTTCCTCTCATCGTTTGCGTCTTCAGACGGTTAAACTCGATTAGAGATTCAAACAAATTAAAAATGTTTCATAGAATGGAGTTTTAAAATATTTAAATAATTTTAAATGAATCAAAAAAAAAATTCGCGATTCTGGTTATTCCACATTTGATAAAATTCCCCGAAACCAAAGTGTTAAAAACATTCAAAAAATTTAGTTTAAAATCGCAATTAAAATTGCGTTAATTTAATAGATAACTAAATTAAACAGAACATTATCAACCATCAAAGTCCGGGTACATCTCATTTTTTATTAATTTACGCCAATACGGTAATTAAGCGATCCATAAAATTAAACCTCCCACGGTAATTTATAAAAAGCCTCGTTTTATGAAACCGCAAGAGACTTTAGAAAGCCGCTTTTCTCTATGTTCTCGTTGAACCCAACGAAAAAAAAAAAAATTGTATCATTTTGCCACTTTCACCATCGACAGATTTTTTTTTGCCTTTAGATATAAGCTTGAACGCGAATCGCGCAATCGAAAGATTTTTTTTTTAAAGGTCAAAATCAACTGTGAAATGTCACAAAACGATTGTGTATCGTTGAAGAGTTTGACCCCGTTTTTGAAGCAAAAGTACCAGATAAAAATCTCTAATCTTTGAATCGCGCCGAGTTGAAAGATGCTCCTTTCACGACGTTGAGTTTTATTTATGGGTTCTGATTACGACGAGATTCGAATTTTATTAAAACCAACGCCGGCGCATATTCAGGACGTGTGATTCACTTCGAACTCAACCAATCAGAAATGAACAAGTGTGTGTTTCAGCGTGTCTCTCCCACCCAAAAGTTGTAAAGTTACAGTTTTTTTTATTTGATATTAAAGTAATTTTTGAATTATTACGAGTACACTGTTTATTTGGCGAATTTTCGACACAATACATTGTAAAAAAATAAATCTATTTTTGAGTTTAATTAATTTAAACTTTTATTATTCTTTTGATATCTCCTTTTTGTCAGATTGATTTATTAAAAAAATAAATATTTAAGAATAAATAAACTGATCTACCTCAACTTATTTGATTTATTACCCAAACTCAATTTATTTTGAAATCTTTTGATTTCTGCAATGTGCTTATTTTCTGCATGACATCATGATTACTCATTCAGTTTCCTTGATACACCAAAAAAATACACAAAGAAATTCTTTTTCTTTGACTTTTCTATAATTTATGCAATTTTCTTGTTTATAGACAATGCAAGAAGTGTTAAGAGTGAACTCATCGGCTGATCTCCAAGTTGAATGGAATTTCCTCGACAAAGAAATTTCACCGGTTTTGCACGATAGATTAATGACAGACGCTGCTTTAGGAACGAGACCCATTAAAACGGAACATTCTTATAGTTTGGCTTCTGATGGGGATTCATTACCGGATTCGCCGATATCCAGCAAACGAATTGAAGGTAAAATTTAATTTTAAAATCGCGCCATCAAACTAGCGCCATCTTTTGGTGAATTCAAATTAATTCCAAATCCTTTACAAAAAATTACTTTATATACAAAAATTATTTAATTTTTATTAATTATTTAATTAATTAATTGAATAATTAATTTTTTTGTAATAATTTGTTTAAAAATTAAATTTGTTACGCCATCTATGAATAAGCTTCTAAAATTATCGTCCTGTCAAAATTTGACAACCTAACATATGTTAACCTTAAAAAGCAAAATAATTAAAAATAATAACTTTTTAGATATGGAAGAAGATTTTTTTCCTATGATTCCAACGCATCGCTTGAACTCAGAAATGGTAATAAAAGATGAACCTTTAAGTGAAACGGATAGCGTACACTCATCGTGTCCATCATCTCCACAACAAAACGATGATTTTGCGGACTCTTTCTTAGCAGATCCACCAGTAAGATTTATCAATACATTTAATTAAGAGGATGAATAAATAAATTATTTTTTAGAAACGTACCTGCGGAATAATCCGAAACTCCAACTTAATGTTAACTTCTAATAACGTCTTCGCCCCAAAGTTTTCACTTTCAAAGATTAACGTGAAAATTGAACCAGGAACGAGATTTCACCTGCCTCCAACTCCTCCGTCGTGTAGTAGCAGTGAAGATAGTGAGGATAATTCGCATTCGCCATGTGTTCGAAAGACGAATGCGCGTGTTATGGTTACACATACCACGAGACAACCAATTAATACCCCATTAATAAGTACTCAACCTGTAAGTAAATAAAAAATTAAAATTATTTAGAATTTTAAATTATTTTTGGTTATTTTGATAACAGAAAGGTTCAACTGGAACTTTGATATTAACAGAGGAAGAAAAACGAACTTTAATAGCCGAGGGATATCCAGTTCCAACTCGTTTACCGCTTACGAAAGCTGAAGAAAAATCGTTAAAGAAAATAAGGAGGAAAATTAAAAATAAGGTAATAATAATTTAAGGAAAAATTTAAGAATCATTATGTGGCTTAAAAATCGATGATTTTTTTTTAATCAATGTGAAATGATCCAAAAAACACGTTAAAAATAAAAAGAAAGCGGAAAAGTGTAGAACATACCGAAAAAGTCATATTAAAGTTTCGATGTGACGTCACAAGCAATATTAACCATGCAGTTTCCTACTAAACCGGTTAACACCTAACCTACAAATTGTTTATTTTCTAATAAAAGTAAAAAATAAACCTCTTATTTGCGTTTATTTAGATTTGCATCGATACTAGTTTCGAGGTATCACCTCATCAACAGTCGGAATTACAGAAAACTTAAAATAAAAAAGAAAAAAACGTTAAATTTAAAAAACTTACAGTCAGTGTTTCTGATGCTCAGAAGCGATGAAAATTTTAAATTTGAACATATTGAAATCAAAAGTTAATTGTGAAAAATTTTGAAGGTCAAAAAGGTTACAGAGGTTGAATACAAAATTTTGTAAAGTTAAATCTAAAAAATAAAACTAATTAAATTAAAATATTTAAAAAAATGTACAAAACCTTACGAAAACAGTGAAAACGAAAGAAGAAGAGAGCTGCGAGATTTTCAACCAAATAAATGACCGAAAACGATAAATGAAAGTCTAAAAAAACTTTGTTAGAAGTCTCGCAGCGATGCGCCGGAGGAACGAGAAGAAAAGAGACTGAACCGATCGTACAAAGGAAAAACAACAAGTTGGAGACACGTGTTCGCGAGGGAGGGAAAAATTTTAACATTTAAGTTTACAGTCTTTCAAAAAAAAGACTGAAAATTGCAAGAAGATCCATTTTCTAACTTTTATTACATTTATGTAAAAGTTTTATATCTTTATAATTAATATTATGCACAGTTTCAATGTAGTGTTTATAAACATTGGAATGCCCCTTATTCTTATGTTCGCGAACACGGTGCAAATTTGAATAAACGCAAGTAATAGGTTTATTTTTGACTTTTATTAACATACACCTTGCAACATGGATAACTAAAATATTGTTTTTGTAATTCGCGACGGTAATGAAAGCTATAACAGTACTCAAACGGGTGCTGTAATGAGACTCCTTACAGCATCCGATGCTGTAATGAGATTTCAGTAACATTTTATGGAACCAGTTCAAGTTGGTAACATTAGGTGATTAATTTTTCTAGTTGTCAATGTGACAATTTTTGTCTATGGATGTTTAAACACGTTCTTAACATCGAATACAAGGTCCACAATGATGAGGACATTGAACACTGAGCAATTTCTCTTATTTTGGGAGGTGTACATGAAACATTTTTTTCAGGTGAATATATTTTGTGTTTTGACAGTTTCTAATTGTCAAGAAATTGTGTCACCAACTGCTACATACCTATTTCCCTACATTGTCAAAATTTATTTTAATTTTGTTAAAAAAAAAGGATATAAAAGCGAATTACAAAAAATAGCATAAAAAACACGTTTCATAAGACTTAAAGCAGTCATTCATTAAAAAACTCGTGGCTTCGCCACTCGTTTTTCAACTTGAATTCGTGCATTTCAAGCGTGTCTTACGAAACTTGTTTTTTAATATACTATTACTAAACTGGGTGAGATTACAATGTATATTTATAAATGAAACACCTTGTTTTTCTTAGGCTTTCGATGCATAACGACTGACTATCTGTCGTTAGATAGACTGTGTGTCAATAGACTCTGTGTTAATACTAGAACTAACACTATATCGAAAACTAGAAACATTCAGATTGAAACAATGATTGTTGTTCTAGGTCTTGTGTTAGTTCTAGTGATAGTGTTAGTGTAAAAGTAGAACTAACACTAGGCCTAGAACTAGAAAGTATCGGGGTTAGCTATGCGTCGGAAGATTAAAAAACAGGGACAGTTTTTACTGTATTCACCGCAACCTTGCAGAAATAATTATTGAAGTTCTGAGCATCCGGGCTGGAAAGGTTATTAATATTGTATTACTGATTCCCTTTTAGTTCTTTATTTATTATCTACCATATAGCCTTTTTTTTATTGCTGGTATTGTTAATGCTAGATAGAAGATAGTCCTAGTTTGCCATTGTTTGATCTCTAGTATGCTCATCTTTCAAAAGGTAATCATGGGAGATTCTGGGCGTATGTAATCTTGATCAATTGTCTTGCGAAGTTACTTAGGGGCCAATTTTTGGACCTCTCCCCTCCGCTTACTTGTGATACATGACAATAATCAAGTCAGGAGTCAATTTATATCAGTCGAATACTTTGATTATGACTTTTAGACAGCGAGCTACTGTTGTCCCACCTAACCAAACATTTTCAGCTTTATGATGTACTTGCTTCTACGCCTCAATAGAAGAAGACCTCTCTCCAATTGCTTAATGTGATGTCTGCGGGGCATCGTAGCTGAACGTATGGGTTGGGGTGGGTTGCGAGAACTAGAAATATTCGTCTAAAGACGCATGGTTAAACCTGAATGTTTCTAGTTTTAGATCTAATGTTAGTTGTAGTGACAGTGTTAGGTAGCAGTAGTTAGCATAAGATATCACTATGTTGCATATTTTTATTGAACTAAAACTAGAACTAACACAAGACCTAGAACTAGAAACATTTGGGTTTAGCCGAATGTGTCTGAAGACCTCTTGAGAAATTCGCACTGGTTTAAATGTTGATCAACCTAACTCAAAGTGGAATTTCTACATAAAATTCTGAAATAAATCAGTAAATTAGGTGTATCCGAATGTGCCCTACCCCCCTCTAAAACGATATGTCGCATCTGGGTGACAAAGAATCGAGTGTTGTAGCAGCAATTTTTAAATCTGTAATGGAAGTCTTCAGCCAGTAGTATTGTAATCTCCAAGCACTTAGTAATGTTTTGGCAGCAGTATATAGTCTTCTGAAAGCATTAAATAGTCTTTGCCAACAATATCTAGCTTTCTCCAAGCAATGAGTAGTCTTTCCAACAATATTTAGCATTCTGAAAGTAGTTGATAGTCTTTTGGAAACAGTATCTTGTCTTTCCAAGCAGATAATAGTTTCTCCTAGCAGTATTTAGTCTTCTCGAAACAGGTCGTAATCTGTTCTAGTAGTATATAGCGCTCTGATAGCAGTAAGTAGTCTTATGGAAGTAGTATCTCATCTTTCCAATCAGTTTGTAGTTGTTTGTTAGCGCTATGTAGTCTTCTCCAAGCAGATTGTAATCTTTTCCACCAGTATCTAGCATTTTGGAAGCAATAGGTACCTTTCTTTGATAGCATAACTCTTCTTTCTATATAGTTGTTAGTCTTTTCCAGTAATATTTAGCATTCTGGCAGCATTAGGTAGCTTTTTGAAAAGCATATCTCTTTTCCAAACAATCATTAAAGTTTTTGAAAGCAATAAGTAGTCTTGGAAGCAGTATTCCGCCTGTCCAAGTAGGTCAAAACCTTTAACAGCAGTGTTTAGCGTTCTGGAAGCTATAGGTATTATTTTGAAAACAGTATTTAGTCTTTTCCAAGTAAGTTGTGGTCTTTTTCTGCAGTATTTCTTCTTTTCAAGCAGTTTTTAGTCTTTTACTAGCAGTATTTAATCTTCTGGTAGCAATAATTACTCTTTTGCCAACAGTATCTAGCATTCAGGAACCAATAAGTTAAAGATTTTAGGTTATCTTTAGTTTATAGATGGTAAACAACGACATTTTAGTTGTTGTGCGTCAAAAACCTAAGAAACAACCGTATTTTACCAGAAAATATGCGCTTTAACCAAATGTGCTGCGAAAATATATGGTTAGCACACAAAATATAGGTTTTTCGGTAAGTAACTCAAAGTGGAATTTCTACCCAAAATTCTGAAATAAATCAGTAAATTAGATGAATCCGAATGTAACGTTTAAAGAGGGCCTGTAACCTTTTCCAGTAGTATTTAGTATTCTGGCAGCATTAGGTAGCTTTTGGGAAGCAAAGCTGTTCTTTCCAAGCAGTTATTAGTCTTTTCCAGCAGTATCTAACATTCTGGAAGCGGTTGGTAGCTTTTTGGAAAGCATATCTCTTCTCCAAACAATTATTAAAGTCTTTGAAAGCAATAACTAGTCTTGGAAGCAGTATTCTTTCTGCAGTATTTAACATTTTAGAAGCAGTAAGTAACTTTTTGAACTAGTATTTCCTCTTTCTAAGCAGTTTTTAGTCTTTTACTAGCAGTATTTAATCTTTTGATACCAATAATTAGTTTTTTGCCAACAGTATCTAGCATTCAGGTATACATTAAGTATAACATTAAAGTCGATTTAAAAAAAATGACGATTTTTAAACGACATGATGATTGAATTATACCATAATTAATTTGATTATTAAATAATGAGATTAATTTTTATTTAAATTTTGTAGATATCGGCTCAAGAAAGTAGAAGAAAGAAAAAAGAATACATGGATCAATTAGAAAGAAAAGTGGATATCTTGGTATCGGAAAATTCCGAGTACAAAAAGAAAATTGAAACGCTTGAAGATAGCAACAGTAGTCTGATGAATCAATTAGCGAAATTACAAGCGTTAGTAACGAAAACTCATCCCCAATTGATGGGAAGGTTCGCAAAGTGAGACCAGTGTTCACCCGAAATCAAAGTACAAAAAACATACGAGAAAAGCAATTTATATAAAATCGCATTATTTACAGAGGTAAACAAAAGAAAAAAACGTTGTGTCTTCCAAATAATTTTATAAGCGTAAAAGTACTTAACTCGGCGTTAAAAGTGCCTTTATAAAATGCGCGCAAAACGAAATCAAATGGAAAATTTAAAAAAAAATAGATTTAAAAAGGATATATTTTTAAATGAGAATTTTTTACCATATAGTAAATTAAAATAAGGTTAAAAGTTTTTAAATAGGTGCTTTATTAAAGCGGTTTGAAAAGAAATATGAAAATACTCTTCATATTTGTTGGTTTTATTTACAATTCAACGTTTCAGTTGAAAGATCCTAGGACAAAACAGTCTGTATTTTTCTTAATTTATTAATGAATAAATAATTCTGCTACAATTCGAATTTTTAAGAGATTTGTTGTTTTGATTGGAGAAAATGGTGCAATGGAGTTAAGTCTAGTTATTGAAATGAGCAGAACATTCCTTTAAAATGTTTTTTTTTATATATAATATTATTAAATAGCAAGGAGTTATTTTAGTTTCAAAGAAATGTTATTATATTTACAATTTACATAGATAAAGAAATGGTATATATTTTTAAATAATATAATTATAATATTTATGTAGTTAATATTAAAAGCTTAGTCGTTTTCTGTTAAATTTAAAATATATTTAGTGATAGAACGATTAATATTGTTTTCTATTTTGTAAAACCTAGCAAAACATTTAATTAATATATTGTTATATTTTTATTTAGGGAATTTAATTAAACGAGACTTAAACCCGTTTATATAAGCGATGTTCGCATTTATTATTAACTAATATATAGTAAAAAACGAACTACCTGCTAAAAATAAGTCCTTTTCGTAAAGTGGTAATAATTTGTTGCCCCCTTTATTTCGCGTTGGGAATTTATACATTCTTTTCACACAGTATTTTTGTACAGTTATCTCTCATTATTTGTTTTTAAAGCGTCTTGCACTGTGGGTGTTCACCTTATTATTATTATTTTTTGAAAATAAAATGAATCGTTAATACATTAAACTCGCTTTATTTACTTTAATAACCACTAGATGGCGATAATAACTACGAAAATATAAAAAATTAAACATTTCCCAATAAAATAAATCAAATACTTTTATAAATAAAATATTTTAAAAGCTATTACAATTAAAGAATTGGGGTGGATATGATTATTATTAAATTTATTGAGAAAGAAATTAAAAAATTAAATTAATCTATTGTGGCGCCATCTTTTGGTCAATAATTTTGGGTAATAATAATTTTAAATGATTCGTGATAACACAAACATTTCAAACGGATTATAATAAAAAGTAAACTAACCTTATTTTTGTAGCCAATAAAAGGACGATTTCGCCGAAATATAACGTTTAAAATAAAGAAAACAATTAATTTTTGTGTTAGTTCAAAATCTGTCCAACGATGAGGTAGTTTTTTAGAAAGCATATCTCTTTTCCAAACAATTATTAAAGGCTTTGAAAGCAATAAGTAGTCTTGGAAGCAGTATTCCGCCTGTCCAAGTAGGTCAAAACCTTTAACAGCAGTGTTTAGCGTTCTGGAAGCAATAAAACAGTGTCTAATCTTTTCCAAGGAATTTGTGGTCTTTTTCTTCAGTACCTAGCATTTTAGAAGCAGTAGGCAACTTTATCAAATAGTATTTCCTCTTTCCAAGCTATTTTTAGTCTTTTACTAGCAATATTTAATCTTCTGAATGCAATAATTAGCCTTTTGCTAACAGTATCAAGCATTCAGGATCACTTGATAGCACCACTAGATGGCGCTGATAACTACTAAAAAATTAAACATTTCCCATAAAATAAATTAAACGCTTTTATAAATAAAATATTTTAAAAGCTATTACAATTAAAGAATTGGGGTGGATACAATTATTATTAAATTTATTGAGAAAGAAATTAAAAAATTAAATCGGTCTATTGTAGCGCCATCTTTTGGTCAATAATTTTGGGTAATAATAATTTTAAATGATTCGTGATAACAACACAAACATTTCAAACGGATAATAATAAAAAGTAAACTAACCTTATTTTTGTAGCCAATAAAAAGACGATTTCTCCGAAATATAACGTTTAAAATAAAGAAAATAATTTATTTTTAAATGTTCAAAATCTGTCCAACGATGAGGTAGCTTTTTAGAAAGCATATCACTTTTCCAAATAATTATTAAAGTCTTTAAAAGCAATAAGTAGTCTTGGAAGCAGTATTCCGCCTGTCCAAGTAGGTCAAAACCTTTAAGAACAGTGTTTAGCATTCTGGAAGCAACAGTTATTATTTTGAAAACAGTATTTAGTCTTTTCCAAGGAAGTTGTGCTTTTTTTCTGCAGTATTTAGCATTTTAGAAGAAGTATATAACTTTTTTAAATAGTATTTCCTAATTCCAAGCAGTTTTTAGTCTTTAACTAGCAGTATTTAATACTTCTGTTAGCAATAATTCTTTTGCCAACAGTAGCTAGCATTCAGGATCACTAGATGGCGCTAATAACTACTAAAAAAATTAAACATTCCATTTAATTAAAAAATAAATCGAATACGCTTTTATAAACAAAATATTTTAAAAGCTATAACAATTAAAAAATTGGGGCGGATACGATTATTATTAAATTATTGAGAAAGAAATTAAAAAATTAAATCGATCTATCGTAGCGCCATCTTTTGGTTATTAATATTTTTGGGTAATAATAATTTTAAATGATTCGTGACAACACAAACATTTCAAACGGATAATAATAAAAAGTAAACTAACATTATTTTTGTAGCCAATAAAAAGACGATTTCCCCGAAACATACGTTTAAAATAAAGAAAATAGTTTATTTTTAGTGTTAGTTCAAAATCTGTCCAACGATGACGCTCTTGACGTTTTAGTAAAAAAGTGACATCTGTCAAATAAACTAAAATCGTCCGATTAAAGATCAAATAAATATAAGTTTCAAAAAGAAAATCTCTACCGGATTCGAAGCTTTATATACCCAGAAATACACGCATCGAAAATCGCGCATAAATGTAATAAAAAAAACCCGCGCACGAACATAACCTCAAAACCAAAATCTCGCGTAGTATCCTTCGCATAGCTCCCCACGTATTCTATGAGCTCGCCGGACAGAAACCTGGTCCCGGACGACGCTTCAAGGTAAACATTGCGTAACCCCATACGAAAATACGCCTCCCCGACGATTCGCACGGGTAAAAATAACGTTTTGTTTGTGCCCGTTTGAGGTTAGGTTTGAAACGTCAAATGTTGAATGTCATCGTCTTTGGGTATTTTCGTACGGCTCTTTGTCAGTTTCGACTTGGTTTGCGGCTTTGTCGCTCGTTTCATTTCGATTCCAACGTTTCACTTATTAAAATGTACTCTACAGGACCAACCCGGAGGCTTCGTCAAGTGGTGATATCAAAATCGGCGAAAGGGGCGATTTAGACGGCCCTGACAACGAAATGAAACGTGCAGCAGCTAAGAAGCTCATCGAGAGATATTTCTATCAGCTTATAGATGGTTGTGGCAACTCGAATTGCAATAATATTTATTGTAGATCTAGTGAATCTGTAAGTTTTTGGTGCATTTGATTTTTAAATTAAATTTAAATGATTTTGTTTTAGTTTGTGTTTAAGGTAAATACTTTGTCTGCTAACGAAGCAGCAGCTCAAGCTATTCAATTGTTTTCACAAGACGCAAGGCTTTGTGAGAGACATCCAAACAAAATGCCTAGAACACATAGTCAAATTATGTTGAATGCTAAAGGTGTGGAGAAAAGTTCGCCTACAACGGCTGAAACTGATTTACCTAGTAATGATTTACATTTAAATTTGAATACAGAACCTTCTTGTGCCAGCAGTGAATTAAAAACAGGTAAGGCTATTTTTAGAGGATACAATACACTTTGTTTATTATCTATAAACAAAGAGATCTTGGTTGTAATTTATCTTTTATAATTTTAGAGGAAAGTATACCTTATTTGACGGAACAAAAATGTTACGAGATAATAGACTTGTGTGAAGAAACGGGGAAATATGTCCCATTAGTGAAAATATTAGGAGCTGTGTTTAGTAACATGTCGAAACTGTCGAATAGTTTCTTACAAAACGATATGAATTCGCCAATTGATGCAATGTTAGACAAAACAAATGGTGAAAAATACTACTAAATGAAATGAATAAAATAAATAAATATTTATTTTTAGCTGATTTAACAACATTAAAAAAAGAAGATGTGCGTTCGTTAGAAGGCGAAAAGGATAAAGATGAAGATAGTTGTGTATCTCCGTCCGCAGGCGGAGAATCTAGAAAAACAATTCCCATTGTTGACTTACCCTCAGTAAGAAGAGCTTATCGAGCCCTATTTAAATTAAATACAACACATTTCGAAGGTTCATTAGTAACCGCCCTAGTTACTTTAGCCTCCGTTTTAGAAATTGAACTAAAAGCAAAATTCATCAATTTTACCAGCGATGAAATCATCAACATCATCCTAATTGTATTCGAAATTCCCGCTCTGGGTACAGGCGATTTTGTCGAAATGGCGCTTCCAATGCTTTGTAGAGCTTTAGAACACTTATCTTTAGATTTACAAGCGAAATTAGCGCTCGCTTGGTCGGGACCCGGACGAAGTAATATGCAAAATATCTTGGAGAATTTACAACAATTAATTACATTGAGGGTTATCACCGGTTTTAATACTTATACGCAAGATGTTCAAGATGATACTGTTGTGACGTCGGCTACGAAATTAATGAAAATTTTATATTACGCAAACATTTTAGCTGGAGTTATGGAATCGCCTGATTTACGAGAGGAATACGATGATTTGAAATTATCAAAAACTAGTTATCCGATCGATCCATTAGCTACAATGCTTGGTGTGAACGTTTTGGATAGTCGAAAACCGTTTATACCGTTTAGCGAGTTTTATAACGAACCATTGAGCGATACGGTTGAGATGGATAGAGATTTTGCTAATTTTAAGAGTGATTTGGGAAAATTCAGTTTTATGACGTATTCATTTATTTTAACGCCGCCAACGAAAACGTTAGGATTGTACTTTGATAATCGGATACGAATGTTTGATAATAGGAGAATAAGTTTTATGCAAAGTGTTATTGGACAACCGTCAAATCCATATTTGAGATTAAAAGTTAGGAGGGATCATATTATTGACGACGCTTTAGTTGAGGTAAATTTAATTTATTCTAAAAGATCCATAATATTAGAGGTATAATTAAAGTTAGGAGATAAGTAATCTCTTGACCTCCAACATTTTTTTAATTATCAACTTTATTTACTTGGAACTAGTTTAGGCATACTAAGATGTCATCATCAGCCAAATCTACAAAACAATATGTATGGAAATGGTCTATTACAATCAGGGTTGGCCATAATGCACTAAAAAATAAATGCAATAAGCGTTTCACTACCACTACTTCTTCAGTGGTGGTTAAAATACGAATTTCATCATCACTGAATATTTAGTGATAGTGAAAAAAAATTGCACTACCACTAAATATTTAGTGATAGTGAAAACCTTTAGTGATAAATACGATTTTTCAGTAACATAACACTGCTTCTTGAAGAATAAAAGTAAGACTATACATACAGAGTGTACAAAAAGTATGGAATAATGGTACTACAGCATAAACTTCAACTTATATTAAAAAAAAGTTTAAATAAATGTAACTTGAAACTATTTTCCGCATATTTTGGCGTAGAAATAAAATAAAAATGATGACGGCAGTCTGAGTTGCGACATGGTGAGTGTGTTTTTTAAATGAAACACTCTGTATATTTTAAGGTTTTTGGATTCTTTTTGACAAGGTGTTGCAAAATGCCATAAGGTTTTAATGCTTTAAACTGCATAATTTTCGAGATATTACAACTTTTATTTACAAAGATTTGACGTAGCGACAATCAAATTATGGAATTATGGACCTAAGCCTTGACGTCACAGGGATGGGCGTAGCTTATATCGACTCCAAACATCTTCGTTGCTAACGAAAAATCCCCATATGCAATTTTTCAATTAGTGTTATAATAAAATAAACTAAGTGACATTTTAAATGACATTTTCATAGCAATTTATCGTTAGCAACTGTAGTTAGCAACGAAATTGTTTAGAATCGGTATAAGCTCCGCCCACCTCTGTGACGTCAGACTTAGGTAGTCTATTCGAGCGGAAACTGTCTCCGTTACCATAGTAACACACATATAGTCCGTCCGTCGAAAGAAGTCCACTGCGTCATTAATTTATGGGGTTATAATAGACTTGTATAATATATTGTTTTCTTTGTTTAATACACGTAAAAAAAAGAGACGCAAAAAGTTAATACAAGTCTATTATAACTCCATAAATTAATGACGCAGTGGACTTCTTTCGACGGACGGACTATATGTGTGTTACTATGGTAACGGACACAGTTTCCGCTCGAATAGACTACCTAAGTCTGACGTCACAGAGGTGGGCGGAGCTTATACCGACTCCAAACAATAGACAACCTAAGCCTTGACGTCACAGAGATGGGCGAAGCTTATACCGACTCCAAACATTTTCGTTGCTAACGGTAAATCACCATATGCAATTTTTCATTAGAGTTAAAATAAAATAAACCAAGTGATGACATTTCAAATGACATTTTTTGACGATTTATCATCAGCAATGAAATTGTTTGGAGTCGGTTTAAGCTCCACCCATCCCTGTGACGTCAAGGCTTAGGTTGTCTATTCCATAATGACACCATAATAGACTGCCTAAGCCACTTAGTTTATTTTATTTAAACACTAATGAAAAATTGCATATGGTGATTTACCGGTGATGTTTGGAGTCGGTATAAGCTCCGCCCATTTCTATGACGTCAAGGCTTTGGTTGTCGCTATGTCAAATCTTTTTAAATAAAAGTTTCAATATCTCGAAAACTATGCAGTTTAAAGCATTAAAACCTTATGGCATTTTGTAACACCTTGTCAAAAACCTTAAAATATACAGGATGTTCCATTTAAAAAAACACAGTCACCATGTCGTAACTCAGACTGCCGTCATTATTTTTATTTTATTTCTACGCCAAGATATGCGGAAAATAGTTTCAAGTAACTTTTGTTTAAAACTTTTTTTATATAAGTTGAAGTTTATGCTGTAGAACCATTATTCCATACTTTTTGTACGCCCTGTATAAACTGAGATTGAATAAGGAAATGTATTCCAAAGTCGTTCAAAAAAGTAGTCGTGATTTATTTCGCTAAATTTTCTTAATGACATCGTTTAATCGTATAATTACACCGCCTATACACCAAGAAGCATTTTTATCAACAAACTAATTGATAACTATACTCTGTTTTTAAACCAGGAGGAGTAAACGCGAAAGTCAGATTTACACTAGGAAAAATCACCAGAAAATATCACTAGATATTTTGGCTGTAAATTTAAATTAATAATTATTATTATTTATTTACTTATTATTGTATTTATTTTCGTTTGTTATCGTCAACACTAAACATACAAATTAACATTGAGGTTATGAGTGTATTAATTGAAGACGCAAAAGGGTTTAAATCAAATTTACAACCATTGTTGTAAACGCGAAACTGTGGAATTGTCAATAACCTAACCTTCAAAATCAAAATTCAAAATTGCCTGTGTGTGAACCTTCCTCGCATTCAACCAATCACGTGCAAGGTCAATCTGAAATTCAAAATCAAAATTCAAAATTGCCTGTGTGTGAACCTTCCTCGCATTCAACCAATCACGTGCAAGGTCAATCTGGTGACAAATTTAAAATACTCCTCCTGGTTTAAAAACAGAGTATAATATCGGACATAAAATATAAATTCAAATGTATTTAGGTAACATGTTTCACTAAAAGTTTAGTGATAATATATTTTCTTCACTATCACTAAAGGGTGTATCTTTAAAACAAAGCGTTTGTCGACCTATGTTTATATGAAGTTTTTGTGTTAATTTTAAAAGATCTATTGACTGTTAAAGTCCTGCTACAAAAACCTGAAACACCCTGTATACAGTGTCCGCCAAACAGTCAGCAACACCCGTTTTATTTCTGTTGCATTGCATCTACATTTCTGAAATTTTGTGTATGTGGGAGGTTCATACCGACCTTTCGATCTAAAGTATTTCCAAGATTCGTTTCTTCGTTATTTTAAATGGAATGCTATAGTTTTTATGGCACCTTTTAATTATATGCGAAAAAATAAGTTCACTTTGATAAAAGTTATTGGTAGCTAGCAATTTTTGTTTTCGAGTTATTTTGATTTTAAATTTTTCTTGGCAGCACTTTTCATTGCTGTGATACAGCAATCATTTGCTGTATCACAGTATCTTGTACAGGTGGGCAAAACGTGAATTACCTTTTTTTCCCATTCAATGGCAAGAAAGAGAAAATTTTAAATGGTAAGCAAGCCCCATGTTTTATTAGCCCACCAGAAAAGAAATTTTCCGGGAAATGTCGGCAATCGATTATATTTTATTAGGACATGATATTTTGACAGTTTTTCAAATATTTGTTGACCTACCGTACCAAATGCTTCAGGAGTGGTTCAACAAAACGTGGTTTTGACTGGATAAGAAAATCCTCATGTTACTGTAATGGAGACCATACACCATAGGGTTTGCATGATGGTTTTAGCCTTACATGCATAACCGACAGGCAAACCCTAGCGTGTATGTGATAAAACTATACAGTTATTGTACATGCAACCAAGCAAATATCAAAATTGATATTTTCTGCCGCTCGGTTACGTTTGCGCGCATGCATAACCAGGCGTATGTGGCGTCCGGCGAGCTTGCATGTACAGTTCTCAGACTTCTCAGTTTGTTCTTAGTTCTCAGTTTATTATCTACGACGGTGGAAGGTCGTGCGCGCGCACCATCGCACTCGTATGGCACTTTAAGACACTCGTATGTTCTTCCTGTAGCAAGAAATCGTAATGTTGCTGGTAGTCTCTCATGTGCTGATATTGCATTTCTCATAACAGTATCATGTCTTCGTATTAACGGAGTGATCAATGATAACAGTTTCAAATAAAGATTTTCATCCATTCGTAAATAATTTTTGTAATCTGTTGGTGTAAATCTCAATTCGCTTAATAAATTTACGTGAGAGAACTGCTTTCTTTTCAATAACCAGCGTTTACACCATTCCGAACGAGCTCTTCTTCTTTTTCTATTCTGTAGAACAAGTGTTAAGCCAAGTACAGCTATCAGATCGTCGTTGTCCATTGTTAGTTTGATATATCGTGCACAGTAGTGTAGATAACTGTCCTACACATACCGTCACGTAGCTCCAACTGTCTTTAACTGAGAATTTATGGCAAAACTGTGTATGCAAACCCTAACGTGTACCATATGAAATTCCCCTAAGGTGAATTATTATGACAATGATGAGTGGACAAGTAAATAGACAAAATTGTCGGTATTGGGTTACCCAGAAACTCAAATTAGCCAAGAAAGTCGCACACCCAATATCCGCAAAAGATTTGAGTAAACCTTAGCTGGAAAGAGATGTTTAAATTTTTTCAAAGGCAGTTATTCCAACAAGATGGCGCGCCACCAAACTGCAAGAAGCTTTACTAAATCAGTTTTTGACACGCAGGGAATTGTTTAAAATAATTGGTTACCATAGTTACTTATATTGGTACTTTTGTCATTTATATAAATTTGAATTCGATGACGTCATATCTAGTTTAAAAATGACGGAAAAAATTTGAAATCTACACTAAAAAATTACAACAAATTTAAATCTTTAGACCCATTTCCGGCATTTTTTCATAAACCATTTATAATGATTTTATCGCCTATATCCGCTACTTTACAGTCACACTGTACATAGAAGTACAATCACAACATTTAACAAAGATACCACTACAATCCAAAGCGTTTTCCTTTTGTTTGTAATTAGAAATGGAATCACCTAGTTGTCCGTTACATTTATAGCTGACAAACACACCATAGGATTGTAATATGGTTTTAATTTTGCAATTTATTTTGTTATATGTTATTGTCTTATAATCTTCAAAGTTATTTTTATTTGTAGAGTATCAAGGGTCTTGTTTTATAAGATTTTTATACAGTAATTTATCGATGGTACAACTTGGACAACCATTAGTCTGGATGTATAATAATAAGAAGATATTTCAATAAAGGCTTGGAACGCAGCTAATTTTTAGTTGTTGGGATGGAAGGAATCATAAGGGATGACGGTATTTAAAGAGGAAGGCTTCCTGAAAATGTCAAATTTAAGATTATGGTCACTTTTTTATATTTTTAAGTCTAAGAAATTTGAACAGTTGTCCTTTTCTATCTCTATGGTGAATTTAAGATTTTTGTGGATGTTGTTTATATAAGATAGCATCAAGATCGAATTTATTTCCATTCCATACACATATAATGTCGTCGTCGATTTTTTGAATTAACAATAAAGTTCTTTTCAATATTATCCAAATACAAATCAGCTAATAAGCCGGAAATGGAAAGACCCATAGGAAGTCCATTTTCAAGTTTGTAAATTTTTTGATCAAAGCGACAATAGTTTTGTTGAATTATGTGATTAAGTATTTTAATTAAGTCATCAGTGGTATCAACATTTGTGTATAAATTGAGTTGTAACGAGTTTTTCAAGGAGTGTATTGGTTTATAATCAATTTGTTTAAAAATACCATACATAAAATCAGTAATTTTAGAGGTATTAGACAAATAGGTAATTGTTTTTAAGATCATTATAATATATCTTAGTATGTCGAAACTAGTTCCAAGTAAGATTATTATACAAATTTTAAAGGTCAAGAAGTCTATTTTGTATTACTTATCTCCTAAGTTTAATTAATTCAGTTGAATTATTTTTATTTTTTTTAATATAGTTGGAGATGATTGCAATGGAAAACCCGATCGATTTAAAAAAGCAACTCGTCGTGGAGTTTGAAAACGAGCAAGGAATCGATGAGGGAGGTGTTTCAAAGGAATTCTTCCAATTAGTAATAGAAGAAATTTTTAATCCTGATTATGCAATGTTCACCTATCAACAAGACTCACAAACCGTTTGGTTTAACCCAACCAGTTTTGAAAACGAAGCTCAATTCACACTCATCGGAATCGTTTTGGGTTTGGCCATTTATAACAACATCATTTTAGCAGTTAATTTCCCCATGGTACTTTACCGGAAGTTAATGGGAAAAAGGGGGTCGTTTGAAGATTTATCTGAATGGAATCCGGTAAAAATACAAAAAATTAGTTAATAAAATAATTATATTGATTATTTTTAGACTCTATATAATAGTTTAAAACAAATGTTGGAATATAATGAACCGGATTTAGAAGATGTTTTTATGCAAACTTTTAGAATAAGTTATCAAGACGTTTTTGGAGGATTAATTAATCATGACTTAAAAGAAAATGGTGATCAGGTTGCTGTGACTCAAACAAATAAATTTGTAAGTATAAGGCCTACCTTTACCACCCTCCTGATTTAACAAGAGAAGTGATTCACCAATTTCGTTGCAATTTGGTACAACGATAGTATGGCCTAAAATAAGGTTTACGTATTTTTTTATACGTGCTAACAAAGCCCCTGGGGAGAGTTATAAGGGTTGAACGTTGGGGTGAACAATATATATTCGCTTATAGCTTGAAGACGAAAACAGCTATCGAAATGTGGTGAATGTAAACTGATATTTATTTTTAAGGAGCTTTTCATTGATATATTACACATATATCTGAGTGTTTCAGGGAACAACCACTGCTTGTTTGGAATAATTTAAAAACTAGTCTGTCGATTTTGGCGGCATTAAGTACCCTAATAGTACGTTTAATAAAAATAACGCCCTATAAATTCAAAAAACTAAGTGTAGAAAGAAGAGGAGACTTTACTGAGGATGAAAATGGCAGGAATATAGATAAACGCAAGGAAAACAGGAAAGTTATAAAGATGAGGACGTGGAATATTACAACTTTAACAGGAAAGGAAAGAGAAATAATGGAGGAGATGGGGGGGTTTGGGATAGAAATAATGGGAATTAGTGAAGCAAAAAAGAAGGGAAGGGACAATTATCAAACAATTATAGTCTATACTTTTCAGGAGTCCAAGGAAATACATGGAACAAGGAGGGAGTAGGAATAATTATAACAGGGGAACTAAATAAAAAAGTAAATAAATATGCACCAGTAAATTCAAGAATTCTGGAATTGGGAATTGACCTAAACAGAAAGGTGAATATAATTCAAATCTACGCACCGACAGAAGGAACAGAAGAAGAAGAAATACGAGATTTTTACTCAAGTCTGCAGAAAACCTTGGATAAATCCAGAGAATTTATAATGAGAGACTGGAATGCGACAATAGGTAACGATATACACAAGGGGGAGGTAGTATAGGAGAATATGGGGATCAGGGAATGCTGGAATTTTGTTAAATAAACAACTTATTGATTGAAAACACTATGTGGAGTCAGAGGAGGCAAGATAAATATACGTTTGTGGCGGAAGAAAGGAATGCCAAGAGTATTATTGATTACATCACATACACCTGGAATCTCCAAAATAGAGTCGAAGAAGTAAAGACTGAAGCAGAAGTAGAAATGGGAACCAACCACAGACTAGCTAGTAGTTAGGCGAAAATAAACATCCATAAACTAAGACAGGAGGAAGACTAAAATACCAAGAAAAAACAATCAACGAATTTCAAAAACTAGAACAAACAGATTTTAACATTGGAAGAAAGGTGGAGTGTTTTTAAAGAGATAATGCGAAACAAAGCTATGGAGGTGCGTGGAATGGGAAAATATAATAATCAGACAAAGAGAACACACTGGTGGAATGAAGAGGAATAACAGGAAATTCTGGAATTAAATAAGAAAATTGAAGGGAGATCAAAGGAAACACATAAAAGCCGTCAAAGATAAAAACAACGATATAAAGACAACTACAAATGAAATTCTAGACATATTGGCGGATTTTTATGCAGAAAAGTTCAAGGACGGAAAATGGACACAAACAATGGAGCAAGGAAAAGAAGATGAGATAAGGGAAGACACTACAGACATAGCAACTGAAGAGATAACAATGCAAGAATTAGGAGAGGCAATGATGAAGATGAAAAAAGACAAGGCTTGCTGTAAAGACAAGACAGATCCGGAGATGGTAAAATATTTGGGAATAAAAGGGAAAAAGTGACTTCTAAGTATATATAAAACCGCATGGGAGTTGGAAACAATCCCGAATCGAAAGATTGGGAAGATAATATCATCTTACCAATACATAAAAAAGGAAGCTACTCGAATTTCTGTGAAAATTACAGAGCCATATGCCTATAATCTACAAGTTACAAATTATACACAAAGATAATAGGAAAAAGGTTAAAAAGAGTAGTGGGAAATAAACTAGAAGGTGAACAAGCAGCATACAGAGCAAGCAAATAAACGAACGATCCGAAATATCATTGAAAGGAAAATAGAGCATATACCTAATATTGTTGGACCTAAAAGCAGCTATTGAAACGGTTAACCATAGTATTATATAGAAATGTCTAGAACAACTAATGGTACCACAAAAACTAACAAAAATAATTGGAAACTTGTACAAGAAAGTCAAGGGCATAGTACAAATGAAGGAAGAAACATCAAAAACTTTCGAAATGAGCAAGGGAATAAAACAAGGTGATACCCTAAGCCCCTTGTTATTTATAATATTAATGGACAGAGTGATAAAAAACACAAGAACAAGAACAAATAAATATCAAACAGTAATAGGTTATAAAAATTTGAAGCTAGTAAAAATAGATGATTTACTATATGCTGACGACATAGTGCTGGCGACCTAGTGAACAAAAGATAGAAGAAGTATCATCATACTTTTACTTTGTACTTGGGCAGTATATCACAAGATGAAAGGATAGACTTAGACATAAATGCAAGAATAAGGAAAACAAACAACGTTTGTCATATTCTAAACAGAACAATTTTTGGAAAAAGAAGATAGATAAAAAAATAAAATTGAAAGTGTACAACTCGGTGGCAGTCCCAATATTAACATCTGCCAGTGAATCATGAAGACGCCAAGATAAACAAGAAGGAAGCAATGGAAATGAATTTTTTTACTGAAAATAGTGAGGAAGACGAAGTGGGATAGGATAAGGAATGAGGAAATAAGACGAGGAGTAAATGAAAAAGAGATAATCAGTAAAATAGAGAGAAAGCATAATAATAAGAAAAAGAGGGGAAGACATAGGAAGAAGTCGGTCGAAAGAATAGCGGAAGATGGGTACAAAAGAAGGGAGACTCTAGCAGATATAAAGGAATTAGCTAGGAATCTGAGGGAGTATAAAAGATGGATGGAGGAATAGGAAAAGATTTATCCGACGTCATCAGACATAAGCATCAGGAGAAGAAGTTTTTTCCCATTTGCCTCTGCCCATCCCCTGCTAAATTACGGTTTAAATAGACAACCCTTTTCCGTACGAATAATTTGATAAAACTTACACTTTTGAACAATATTTTGTAGAAAATCGTAAATGAATTGCAAATTAAGATTCATGCTGTAAAATAGGCCCTATTCGACATTTAGGTGTAGCTGGGGTTATACATTAAATAGTACTTTGAAAGAACTTATCAGGAATAATAGTAAATTAGGAAATATTTATTAATAATGAGTTAAAATACAATTGACAAAGAAATGGTTGTATATTATAGATTGTATTCTACGTTTTTAGTTTAATTTGTTTTTTTTAAGATATTTTTATTCAATGTATAGTTGGCAATAATGAACATCATGAAAAAAATGTTTTCAACGCAAAGATTGTACACACCATACACAACAGCTATGTCCCTATAGATATCTCATATTGGTTTTCCACTCAAAAAGTAAACGTCCGCGTCCGCAGGATTTTCAAACTGTTCTGGTCTCTCATCTACTTAACATATACACACTTGTAAACCACGCGTATTTAAAAACATTAATAAATCGCGGGGAAGACAATTAGTTATGCGTTAGTACTTGCAATTTTAAAATATTATGTCTCTGATGCAAATTGACGTCGTACTGGTAGACAATAACTCATCAGAAGGTATTAAATTAAGCGATTGTATTTGATCTGTTGTCCCTGCAGGTATAGACAAATGTTTAAACTTAACATCCGACTACTCCAAGAATCCAGTAATGTTTTGTCCAGTGTTTGGGAAGTACATATTTTATATGGGCAGAAGTTAATGTATGATTTTCTTCAAAATATAGTTTTATCACATTATTCTTACAGAAAAGGGTTATCTATTTTACCCTGTAACTTCGCAGGGGAACTACAAGTAGTTAATATTTTTAAACATACTGTTAGGGTACTTAATGCCGCCAAAATCGACAGGGTAATTTTTAAATTATTCCAAAAAAGCGGGGTAGTTTACCTCCTAAATCCCTCAAATATATGTGTGATATATCAATGAAAAGATCCTTAAAAGTGAATATCAGCTTACATTACCACATTTCGATAGCTGTATTTGACCCAATTCCCAACTTACCCCTGGAGAAAAATACGTAAACCTTATTTTAGGCCATACTTTCGCTGTTATATCTATATATATCTCTATTTTACTGATTATCTCCTCTTCATCTACTCCCAGTCTTATTTCGTCATTCCTTATCCCATGTCATCTCCACTATTTTCTATAAAAATTTCATTTCCATTGTTGTGATCTTTCCTTCTTGTTTATCTTGGAGTCTCCATGATTCACTGGCAGATGTTAATATTTGGACTGCCACCGAGTTGTACACTTTCAATTTTATCTTTTTATCTATCTCCTTCTTCCCAAAAACGATTCTGTTTAGAATAATGACAAACGTTGTTTGTTTTCCTTATTCTTGCATTTATGTTAATTGTCTATCCTTCCATCTTGTGATATTATACTGCCCAAGTACTCATATGATGAAATACATGTATGCTGCTTGTTCATCTTCTAGTTTATTTTCCACTACTCTTAACCTTTTTTTCTATTATCTTTGTATATAATTTATAATTTGTAGATGATGGGCATAATTTTCACAGTTCAAGTAGCTTCCTTTTTTATGTATTGTTAAGATGATATTATCTTCCCAATCTTTCGGGATTGTTTCCAACACCCATGCGGTTTTATATATACTTAGAAGCCACTCTTTCCCTTTCATTCCCTAATATTTTACCATCTCCGGATCTATCTTGTGTTTGCAGCAAGCCTTGTCTGTTTTCATCTTCATCATTGCCTCTCCTAATTCTTGCATTGTTATCTCTTCAGTTGCTATGTCTATAATGTCTTCCCTTATCTCATCTTCTCTTCCTTCCTCCATGTTTGTGTCCGTTTTCCGTCCTTGAAGTTTTCTGCATAAAAATCCGCCCATATGTCCAGAATTTTATTTGTAGTTGTCTTTATAACGTTGTTTTTATCTTTGACGGCTTTTATGTGTTTCCGTTGATCTCCCTTCAATTTTCTTATTTAATTCCAAAATTTCCTGTTATTCCTCTTCATTCCACCAGTGTGTTCTCTTTGTCTGATTATTATATTTTCCCATTTCACGCACCTTCATAACTTTATTTCGCATTATCTTTTTAAAAATACTCCACTTTTCTTCCAATGTTAAAAATTCTCTGTTTGTTCTAGTTTTTGAAATTCGCTGTTTGTTTTTTCTTGGTATTTTAGTCATCCTCCTGTCTTAGTTTATGGATGTTTATTTTCGTGTAGGTTTTCATCTCTTCTCTTTCGATTTCTGTATTATTAGTAGCTGCCTAATTACTAACTAGTCTGTGGTTGGTTCTCATTTCTACTTCAGTCCTTACCTCCTCGACTCTGTTTTGGAGATTCCAGGTGTATGTGATGTAACCAATAATACTCTTAGCATTCCTGTCTTCCGCCACAAACACGTATTTATCTTGCCTCCTCTGACTCCACATAGTGTTTTCAATCAATAAGTTGTTTATTTAACAAAATTCCAGCATTCCTTGATCCCCATATTCTCCTATACTACCTCCCCCCTTCTGTATATCATTACCTATTTTCACATTCCAGTCTCTCATTATAAATTCTCTGGATTTATCCAAGGTTTTCTGCAGACTTGAGTAAAAATCTCGTATTTCTTCTTCTTCTGTTCCTTCTGTTGGTGCGTAGATTTGAATTATATTCACTTTTCTGTTTAGGTCAATTCACAATTCCAGAATTCTTGAATTTACTGGTGCATACTTATTTACTTTTTTATTTAGTTCACCTGTTATAATTATTCCTACTCCCTCCTTGCTCCAAGTATTTCCTTGGACTCCTGAAAAGTATAGACTATAATTGTTTGATAATTGTCCCTTCTCTTCTTTTTCGCTTCACCAATTCCTATTATTTCTATCCCAAACCTCTCCATCTCCTCCATTATTTTTCTTTCCTTTCCTGTTATCTATATTCTATATTCCTGTCATTTTCATCCTCAGTAAAGTCTCCTCTTCTTTCTACACTTAGTTTTTTGAATTTATAGGGCGTTATTTTTATTAAACGTACTATTAGGGTACTTAATGCCGCCAAAATCGACAGAGTAGTTTTTAAATTATTCCAAACAAGCAGGGGTAGGGTTTACCTCCTAAATCCCTCAGATAACTGTGCGATGTATCAATGAAAAGATCCTTGAAAGTGAATATCACCCTTATAACTTACCCCAGGGGCTTTATTAGCACGTATAAAAAAATATGTAAATCTTACAACAAAATCGGTGAGGGACAGTTATAAGACAGGCTTTTTCCCAACCTTTCAGCTATTAAAATTACATTAAAACTAAAAATATTTTCAATTTTAGGAGTTTGTAGAAATGTACGCAGATTTCCTATTAAATAAATCAGTCGAAAAACAATTTCGTGCCTTTTATAAAGGCTTCCAAATGGTAACTGATGAGTCACCATTAGAGTTACTGTTCCGTCCGGAAGAAGTCGAATTATTAATATGTGGTAGTAAAACGTTCAATTTCAACAGTTTGGAGCAAGCAACGGAATACGACGGGGGATACACAAGTGATTCGCCGATCATTAAACATTTCTGGTCGGTCGTACACGCGTTCTCGATAGAAGAAAAACGAAAATTATTGCAATTTACGACCGGATCGGATCGAGTCCCGATCGGGGGATTGAGCAAATTAAAACTGGTCATTGCAAAAAATGGGCCGGATTCGGACCGGTTACCAACCGCTCACACGTGTTTCAACGTGCTTTTATTGCCAGAGTATTCGTCGAAAGAAAAATTGAAAGATCGATTAGTGAAAGCGATCAATTATTATCAAGGTTTTGGTATGTTATAATAAACGTGAAAGAAATGTGTCGAGTTTTCGTTGTGTGTACATAAAGAGACAGTACAGACACGTTCTTTTATTAATTTTCACCGCTCACTATTAAGTTTACGTTTCTTTCTTTCACTGTATGTTCTTTATGAACTAATTATTGTGTATGGTTAAAAAAAAATTGGAGTCATAAAAAACATGATTAATAATTAAGTTGTTTTTTCAATCTGTGACTGTTTTCTTCTATTTTTTTTAGGTCTGTAATAACTGAGTTTTTTTTGTAAATAAATCATATTTGGTCACAAATAATAATTCATTTTCTTATAATTATTTGTGAAAAGTGATTTGGAATTTTATTCATGGAAAGTGAGATTTTATGTTTTAATTAAATTATACCAGGATTGAATGAAATAAGAAAGGTAAGTTAAAAATGATAAAGTAATTAATTAGAAATAAAATTTCTAAAAAAATCCTTTTTATTTACAATAACGATCCGCTTTCATTTTACTCCTTCGATCTAATAATGTCTCGTGCAAAGTCCCATCCACTTTAGCTTTATCCAACTCTTTTTTATCATTGGGATTAATGCGCATTCTCTTATCTTGAAACTTTTGAAATTTTTTAATATAATTTACCTCAATTTGGGCCAAACTTCCTTGTTCTTCCACTGGAACATCTTTCATTGGGTTCACCTCCTTTGTAGTTTGCGATCGTATTTGTACCATATTTCTTTCAGACGCTTTCTTATCATCAGCAACCACATTATCGTCATCATCCAAAGATAAAAAACATTCATTTGAACCTTGCAGAGCCAATTTACCTTCCTGCGCAATATAAAAGAACAATAGTTGAATTTTTTAAAAATTTGTATACATACCTGAAAAACAGGTTCCCATTGTTCCATAGCCCCAATTGCATCAGACCTTCCTGTAACTTTCCCATCTTTTTCTACCCTCAAATATTTATTATAACCCGATTTCAAAGCAAGTTGACGTTCATTTATTGGAACTGCTGTAAGTATTTCTTCAGGTGCTGGTCCATCACCCTCATCGTGCGGGGCTCCTAAAGTAAAAAGTCCATTGTCTAAAGCACGCACATAGGTATGTTTTCCAAATTCAATTGCTACGGCTCCGTTTAAATCATCAAATTTTGTTGCTTTCCACCAATTACCATGCTCGATAGCGTCTTGATCAATTTTTGGGACATCCTCTTGTTTTTTATGTTTGTGTTTACGCTTTTTACCTCTTTTGTGAAAAGAAAATATAATAATTTTAAGTCAAATTTTTTTGAGGTTAGGTTACTTACTTTTGCTTTTCTCCTTTTAATACGAGTTTTCCAGGACGTACTTTATCGTATTCGGACATTCCTTATTAATTTTTTAACTAATTTAAAAAGATTTAATAATTATTTTGACCGATAAGGATTATTTTTATTATTATTGCGATAATAGATTCAAGTTAGGTTATGTCGGTAAAGTAGAAATCACAAACCAGTTAAATCGGTAATTTGAGGTTGTTTTTAAAATTTTAGATTCTTTTAACGAAAATATTAAAATAAAACCCTTTTTTTCATGTTTATCAGTTTTTAATCACTGTCTTTAAGTTACTTCACATTGTGGTTTGTAGTTTATTCAACTAAGAGTCTTATTTAATAAAACGACGAAAAAGGTAAAGGTACAATTCCTTGTAAAAAACATAATAAGATTATATAATTGTATCAAGAATTCTTCCATTGTTCGATAGCCCCAATTGCATCAGACTTTCCTGTAACTTTCCCATCTTTTTCCACACTCAAATATTTATTATAACCCGATTTCAAAGCAAGTTGACATTCATTTAATGGAACTGCTGTAAATTTTCTTCAGGTGCTCGTCTTTCACCTTCATTGTGGGAGGCTCCTAAAATCCATTACCCAAAGCGCGCCCATAGGTGTGTTTTCAAAATTCAATTGCTACGGTTCCATTTAAATCATTAAATTTCGTTGCTTGCCAATAATTACCATGCTCGATAGTGTCTTGATCAATTTTTGGACATCCTCTTGTTTTTATGTTTACGCTTTTTACCTCTTTTGTGAAAATAAAATACAATAATTTTAAGTCAAATTTTTTTGAGGTTAGGTTACTTACTTTTGCTTTCTCCTTTTAATACCAGTTTTCCAAGACGTACTTTATCATATTCGGACATTCCTTATTATTTTTTTAACTAATTTAAAAAGATTTAATAATTATTTTGAGCGATAAATATTATTTTTATTATTATTGCCATAATAGATTCAAGTTAGGTTATGTCGGTAAAGTAGAAACAAGTTAAATTGGTAATTTGAGATTGTTTTTAAAACTTTTAATTTTTTTTAACGAAAATATTAAAATAAAGCCCTTTTTTCATGTTTATCTGTTTTTAATCACTGTCTTTAAATTATTTCACATTGTGATTTGTAGTTTATTCGACTAAGAGTCTTATTTAATAAAATGACGAAAAAGGTAAAGGTACAGTTCCTTGTAAAAAAAAATAATAAGATTATATTCCATATTGTTATATAATTGTTCCATAGCCCCAATTGCATCAGACCTTCCTGTAACTTTCCCATCTTTTTCCACACTCAAATAATTATTATAACCCGATTTCAAAGCACATTGACATTAATTTATTGGAACCACTATAAGTCTTTTTCAGGTGCTGGTCCTTCACTTTCATCGTGCGGGGCTCCTAAAGTAAAACTCCATTATCTAAAGCGCGCACTTAGGTGTGTGTTCCAAATTCAATTGCTATGGCTCCATTTCAATCATCAAATTTCCTTGCTTTCCAACAATTACCATGCTCGATAGCGTCTTGATCAATATTTGGGCCTTCCTCTTGTTTTTTATGTTTGTGTTTACGCTTTTTATCTCTTTTGTGAAAAGAAAATACAATAATTTTAAGTCAAATTTTTTTGAGGTTAGGTACTTACTTTTGCTTTTTCCCTTTTAATACGAGTTTTCCAGGACGTACATTATCATATTCACACATTCTTTATTAACTTTTAAGTAATTTAAAAACATTTAATAATTATTTTGACCAATAGACTATTTTTCTTATTATTGCGATGGCAGATTCAAGTTAGGTTATGTCGGTAAAGTAGAAACAAGTTAAATTGGTAATTTGAGGTTGTTTTTAAAACTTTTGATTTTTTTTAACGAAAATATTAAAACAAAACCTCCTTTCTCATGTTTATCTGTTTTTAATCACTGTCTTTAAGTTATTTCACATTGTGGTTTGTAGTTTATTCCACTAAGAGTCTTATTTAATAAAACTACGAAAAAGGTAAAAGTACAAATCCTTGTAAAAAAAATAATAAGATTATATTATTGTATCGAGAATTCTTCCATTGCTCCATAGCCCCAATTGCATCAGACTCATCTTCCTGTAACTTTCCCATCTTTTTCCATCCTCAAATAGTTATTATAACCCAATTTCAAAAGCAAGTTGACATTCATTTAATGGAACCGCTGTAAATTTTCTTCAGGTGCTTATCCTTCACCTTCATCGTGCGGGGCTCCTACAGTAAAAGTCCATTGTCTAAAGCGCGCACTTAGGTGTGTTCTCCAATTTCAATTGATATAGCTCCGTTTAAATCATCAAATTTCATTGCTTTCCACCAATTACCATGCTCGATAGTGTCTTGATCAAAATTTTTGGAATATCTTCTTGTTTTTTATAGTATTTTTTACCTCTTTTGTGAAAAGAAAATACAATAATTTTAAGTGAAATTTTTTTGAGGTTAGGTTATTCACTTTTCCCCTTTTAATACGAGTTTTCCAGGGCGTACTTTATTATATTCGGACATTCCTTATTAATTTTAATAGATTTAATAATTATTTTGACCGATAAAGATTATTTTTCTTATTATTCCGAAAACACATACAAGTTAGGTTATGTCGGTAAAGTAGAAACAAGCTAAATCGGTAATTTGAGGTTAATTTTCAAAATTTAGATTTTTTAACTAAAATATTAAAACAAAGCCCTTTTTTCATGTTTATTTGTTTTTCATCATTGTCTTTAAGTTACTTCACATTGTGGTTTGTAGTTTATTCGACTAAGAGTCTTATTTAACAAAAGGACGAAAAAGGTAAAGGTACAATTCCTTGTAAAAAAAATAATAAGATTAAAGATTAAATTATTGTATCGAGAAATGACGATTCATTTTTGCGTTTTTTTTATCACGACGAGAGATCTAAGGCAAAGGGAGAGAGGAGGAAAGGGTTGCCCTTGAGGGCTGGGACCGTGGCACAGAAGGAAACCGTAGATAGAGGAAATTAAATTGTAAACTAATTTAACAAAAAATATATAAACGAGGAATCAGTGGTTTCTTAATGTTAAAATTGATGATAATACAACTATAGCCGGTGTTATTATTATTAAATTACTTTTTTTGCTTGTTTGCTGTTTGTTGTAGAACCCGTCTTGTATATTTTTATTTATTTATTCGGTGTAGTAGTAGTACGGTTTTGTCGCAGTTGGATGCACAGATGGTGGAACGCGGAGCACTCAAAACTCGCTACCCCCTTTGCCGGAGACCGTGACGCGATGATACGACACATTTAAGTAATTAGTTAGGTAAGTCCATTGATGGCACACAAAACGTGCGCGACTCAACTAATATCAGACTTATCTCGAGACGCTTTCAACCATTCTACAAACTCATCCAACATTACTGGCCCTAAAACAAGTGTTTTAGAAAATGTTTAAAAATATAATTGAAAAAAGGATACTTACATGCTCCATCTACATCATAATTGGATAAGTCTATATTGATAGTACGCGAAAATTCCAATATATTACACCACTGATCCTTATTGATCACCTTGTACTTGCTCTGTTCGAGAAACTGGCTAAATTGGGCGTATAGCGGCCAATGTTTGCCCAAGAGCAACTGAAGCATAGCTTTGGCCGTTTCCATATCCATGCTGCGTTGATCTTTATCTCGAGCAAAATCGTACGCGTACCGATAAATCGCCTTAAACGAATGCTGATCATTTAGCATACAGCGTAACTGTTCGAGACGACCCTGAAGCTTTTGGATTGAATCGCACTGAAGATCCGTCAAGCCTCGAACCCACTCCTCCTGACTAAAAAAACCCATTTGCCGCGCCTGCATCCGATACGCCAATACCAGCATGACGACGTTTTCCGGTTCGACGCCAATATCCTCGCAAAATTTCTCCATACCCTCGGGGCCCAATACTTCCGGTTCATCAGGACATGTGTACTCTCGAAACCATGTCAGGCACTTTTTCTGGCTGAATGAAGAGACCTCGTCCAATCGTGAATATCTTCGAGAACTAAAAATTAAAAAGAAATTTTTGATCCATCCTGTACATACATCAATAAAAATTACACATTTGAGGTCTACTTGACATTATTTTATTCATAAATTTTAACCTAAATCTTAATTGTTAATAAAAACGACAACGAAATAAATAATATTTTACTAAAAAATATTAAAAGAAATTTTTGATTCACCCTGTACATCAATAAAAATGACACATTTGTGGATATGTCTATTTGTCATTATTCTATTCATAAATTTTAACCTAAATCTTAATTGTTAATAAAAACGACAAGGAAATAAATAATATTTTACTAAAAAAATATTAAAACAAATATTTGATTCATCCTGTACATCAATAAAAATGACACATTTGAGGTTATGTTTACTTGTCATTATTCTATTCATAAATTTTAACCTAAATCTTAATTGTTAATAAAAACGACAAGGAAATAAATAATATTTTACTAAAAAATATTAAAAGAAATTTTTGATTCACCCTGTACATCAATAAAAATGACACATTTGTGGTTATGTCTATTTGTCATTATTCTATTCATAAATTTTAACCTAAATCTTAATTGTTAATAAAAACGACAACGAAATAAATAATATTTTACTAAAAAATATTAAAAGAAATTTTTGATTCACCCTGTACATCAATAAAAATGACACATTTGAGGTTATGTCTACTTGTCATTATTTTATTAATAAAATTTCATTAATTTTAACCGAAATCTTAATTGTTAATAAAAACGACACCGAAATAAATAAAATTTTACTAAAAAATATGATTATAAAAACCAAATAACGAATATATAAATATGCGACTTGACAAGTCCGAATTTATTTTTAAACCCAGACATGAATGAGTTAAATGTAATTTGAGATAATTAATGAATTATTAAAGTGTACTAACCTGTCATCGCCCATTCCTAACCCAAATTAAATGAAAAAATAAGATTTTTTTCTCGTTCGATTAATAATTTAAAAGATCACAAACACATCCACAATTACACTCATACAAAAATAACAATGTCCCAAAGCACAGGTAGCACTAAAAATAGCTTAAGGCATCAACTTCTAACCTAACTTTATCAAACAAAAAAATCACCTAGATATCACTAATTAAAAAATTTAAAAAAAGTTTCTTATCAAATTCAACTTTGGCATGAGCGAAAAAAAATAAATTTTATAACAATTAATAGTACTTACTTTGTGGAATTGCGTAACCTTTTCGTGGGGTACCTGTCGTCATCGGGCGCACTCATGTCCGCAGGTGCCCTGCGTTTACTGCGGGGCATTTCACCAGAAACTATATCTCGTTTATCAGTAACTAACCTAAAAAACGAATTGAAAAAAAAAATTATTATTAAAAAACAAGCACGCGATTCATTTTAAAATTCTGCAACGTGTTTTTAATGATTAACTTTATAAAAATTAACAAAACAGTCCAAAAAATGGAATTTACCTAAGCTATTTACCCTGTTTGGTGATAATATACCCCTCCCAGCATTGGAACCCCGTCAGGTCGGGTTGAATTTTTAGGAACGGCTCTACTTTAACCGATCATCCGTGAAGGTGCGGAATGATCGAAAACGATGCAGAAATCGATCGTTTCGACCATAAAATTTCTGGTGGAACCAGCCAGCAGCAGTAGTCCATAAACGTCTATCAGCTGGTCTATGGCACTTGACCTTGAATCTAGGAATTTTTTACGTTTTCACATTTACATCAAAAATTACTTTTTACAATTTATTTTTATCGAAATATTTTTTTTAACCACACTAAATTTTATTATAAACATAAAAATTAATATACAAATTAATTTTATATCTCAATTATAAAAAGAAAAAATTTAATTCATATTTTTTTAGGTTGGTATTAAGATCATTGAGAGATCTTCACTAATTATTTTATTTATTATATTAATGGGTTAACTTTGGATAATGTTTTAATAAATTTTAAATCATTTATTATCTTAATTCTTTAATAAATTAATTATTAGTAAAACAATTTTTATATTTGCGTTATAATTATGTGGATAAATAGAAAGATCTATATTGATTTTGAGTCAATGGAAGTACACTCGTTGGTATAATAATTATTTATTATTTAATTGTTAATTCTTATTAATTATTTATTTTATTGAATCAAAAGTTATAAATTCACAAAATTGAAATAAACAAATAATTTTTTTATACATTAAGTTTTTAAGTTGGCACTATTTTCATTGACAGCTTAATAACATATGTTTATTTTTCACGGTGTGAGTATTTAAGTGCCTCTATTAGCAATTCTAATGCATTTTCCGTCGAAACATCACAATATTCGTAATTCTACTACTTGATACGTTATTATAGTGCGAGTTAATTAATTAAAAATAAAAATCCACACGGTTGGTCATCCTGTAAAAATAATAAGGTGGAATGTGAAATCCCTACTTATCTGGCCTTTGTGTTTTTATCTTATGTTGCGTGTTCAAGTTACGATAAGATCCCAGAAATCTATTGCGTTCATAGAATTCATGTATAATTCGTTACAACTTTAGTGTGTGTTACGATTCTTTGATTAATCATGTCTCAACCCGAATTCGTTAGCGAAGATCTGGACTTCCTTTATAGGCAATTTCCGACTCTTTCCCCAGAGATTATTAATATGGTGGCATCACAGCACCAATATAATATCCAAAGAACAGGTTTTTATCTTTATGAAATTGCGAAGCAAAGTACTAAAGAGCCAGAAAGTAGAGAAGAGAAATCAAGAATTGTCAACATAATAAGAGATGGTTGGAAAATAATTGTTTTGATGCGTGGACTCCCTGGGAGTGGAAAAACGCATCTTGCGAATGAAATATTTCGAGCTTCCAATATTAAATATCCCGCGGAACAATTTATTTTGAGTACAGATGATTATTTTAAGCAAGGTGGAGGATATAATTACGATGTTAAGAAATTGGAAACCGCCCACGATTGGAATCAACAGCGTTGTCATAAATTGATGTGTAAAGGTTTTAGCCCTGTTATCATTGACAATACAAATCTGGTAGCTTGGGAAATGAAGGTTTATTGCTTGATGGCAGTGGAATATGGGTATATAATTGAAATTTTGGAACCAAACACCGATTGGGCTTGCGACCCAAGCATTCTAGCCAAGAAAAATAAGCACAACGTTCCTAAAGATAAAATAATAAAAATGTTAAACAAATACGATCAATCAATCACCACTTTGTCTTTGGCGCGGGAATTTCAATTAAGATATAAGCAGAGTATCCCTCAAAAACGGTTGTTTCCTCCATTATTTATGGGATCAGAAGAAAATTATGCTAACTTTGATTGCAATGTAACTCAACGGAGAGGAGTGACAACAAAAAATTTGGCCAGCTCTAACTCGATGGATAATTTCGATTTTTTGTTTGGGAAAAAACCTGAAGATGAAGAACCGATTATCGAATATGTTCATCGTTTTGATACTAAAAAGGAAGAGGTGAAGGGAAATAATTCTAAGGAAGAAGTTAAGGTGGATAATAATGGTAGGTTTTAATATATTTTAAATAAATTTTAGATAGTTTATTATCTTAATTTTCTAATAAATTATTAGTAAAACGATTTTTATATTTACATTATAAATATATAGATAAATAGGAAATATATTTTGAATCTATGTTAATTTTGAGTCAATGAGGCTTCCATTAAATTAAACAAATTCTAACATTTTATGACTAAAATGCAAGATTGAACATCATTTTCTATATTAAATGATAAAAGAACTTTAACCCATTAACTGCCAAAATTTTTTTAAAATTTGCTTAAATACAGGGTGTCTAGCCCTTTTGTTTGCCATAGCAAGGAAACAAAAAATCATGTAAACAAGCAAATATCGCCAAAAAATGCGCCACAATTAATAAAGAATTTTTTATTTGAAACATTTTTCTTTAAAACAACAAATGGCGAAGTTATTGGCTATATTCCAGGCGTCTGTGAAGTTAGCACCTCATTTTTTTAAAACTTCAAATTTCTCTTGAGTTCCCATTGCACCCCATTGAGTTCTATAGTTCTCTACCATTTTTATTAAAAGTTCCGCAAAAATAGGCAAAAACATCGATATCGACTTTTTGGGGTGCTAAGTTCACAAAACGAGATCACAAAATTTGCAATAACTATTAAACGAATGCACGTATCTAAAAACTTTATTAAAATATCTTTTAGAACTCGTGAGGTGCTATTCAGAACTCCCGGAACTTTTCAAAATTTTCACCCCTCCGGGACATTCACAAAATCTCAATGTGAACATTTGAAATCGCGCACAGTTTCTTAAATATTAGTTTTACGGCTTCGAGCCTTAACCATTTTCGTTAGAACTCGTGAGGTGCTACCTAGAACTCCTATCAGAACTTCCGGAACTTTTCAAAATTTTCACCCCTCCGGGACATTTACGAAATCTTAATGTGAACTTGAAATTGGCACAGTTTCTTAAATATTAGTTTTACGGCTTCGGACCTTAATCATTTTTTTTAGAACTCATGAGGTGCTACCCAGAACTCCTATTTCTTAAATGTTAATGTTTAGATTGTCAATGTTAGATGAAAATAAACCGAAACATTTAAGAAATTTAAGAAATAGGAGTTCTGAGTATCACCTCATGAGTTCTAACGAAAATGATTAAGGCCCGAAGCCGTAAAACTAATATTTAAGAAACTGCGCGCAATTTCAAGTGTTCACATTGAGATTTCGTAAATGTCCCGGAGGGGTGAAAATTTTGAAAAGTTCCGGGAGTTCTGGCAGGAGTTCTGAATAGCACCTCACGAGTTCTAAAAGATATTTTAATAAAGTTTTTAGATACGTGCATTCGTTTAATAGTTATTGCAAATTTTGTGATCTCGTTTTGTGAACTTAGCACCCCAAAAAGTCGATATCGATGTTTTTGCCTATTTTTGCGGAACTTTTAATAAAAATGGTAGAGAACTATAGAACTCAATGGGGTTCAATGGGAACTCAAGAGAAATTTGAAGTTTTAAAAAAATGAGGTGCTAACTTCACAGACGTATATTCCAGACATTTGACACATCCTGTATAGGAAATTATTATTCGAAAATTTTTCATTAATAATGACACACCTTAGAATTAAATTATAAAAAGTATTATCAATTGCTTCGACTAAAATATTTGCAGATTTCCAGCACTTCCGGTTATACCGGAAGTCGCCACCTACTTTATTTTTTTAAATGAAACACTGTATATTTTTACATATTTGGATTTGTCTGTTTTCAAGGTTTATAAATAACTTTACTTTTTGCAATTTGATTCAGCCGTTCTCAAGTTATTCGAATTTTTCTAGAAAAATCTGCGCCAACAAACATTTATTCAAAAAATCAGAGAACACTCAATTTTTGAGATATCAATTTAGGATTCAGAACATGCTTAAGCAACATGATGGAGTATCTTTTGGTGCCAAGAACGGCTGTCTAGAACGTTTGGTCATTTTACTATGGCACATTAAGTTTTCGAAATTTGGAAGTACCATAACTTCATTTTTTTAAATGGCACCCCCCATATTTTATTACTTAGTCGTCTTCGGTGTCTCATTCTACATCTTTTATATCCCATATGTCCCATACCTAACATTAATAGTTTGGGAGATAATTAGGGTTTTTTGAAAGCCCAACCCAACCCGTACCCATTTTGATGCTAGTTCATTTCCCTTTTGATCATAAGCGATAACACACTGTTCCCTGTCTGAGAGGTAAGATCTGAACCACTCTAGCGCAATACCTCGAATTCCCATTGCTTCCATCTTCATTAAAAGGGTGTCGTGATGAACACTATCAAATGCTTTGGTTAGATCCATCATTATGCAACCGGTAAGTTCGTTATTGTTTATTCCAGTTAGAATTTTTTCCATCAACTGAAAAATTGCTCTGGTTGTAGATCTACCCTCAATATAGCCATTTTGTAACTCATTCAGTATTTGATTTTTGTAAATGTAGCTTTTAAGTCTCATCAGTACTATCTTTTCAAAAACCTTCGCAACATTAGGTGTTAAAGCGATTGGCCTATAATTCGAAAAGTCTGATTTGTCACCTTTTTTATACAATGGCCTTACTAAGGTTCTTTTCAGGTGGTGTGGATAAGTTGCAGAACCAAATGACAGTTTTATAATACTACTTAAAGGTTCAGCAAGATAATCGACGCAAACTTTTAAAACAGAGATCGGAACTTTGTCGTAACCAACTGCAGACGTATTATTTAAAGACATTATGACTGATTTTAGTTGTGTTGAAAATCACATAATCGAGATCTTCAGATTGCTTATTTTGTCTGAGCATATTGATGGTATTCCATGTAGCCCTTACTTTATTTTTAGCTGTTTCTATAAAATTGGTAAAAACAGTTCTTTTTGATATCGCTATTTCGTTTCGAACATGTCGGGAGTAAATATTGTAATATTCTTTATCAATTTTACCCATTAACATACCTCCATATAGTCGACGCTTCACACCCGTTTTGTTTTTTATTTCTTTTGTTAACCATTTATTAGTAGCCGATTTAACATTCATTTTAATTAAATTTTTCTCTGATTTTTTAATTATGCAATTATGTATTACATCTATGAACTTGTCATATAACTCGTCAGTCTCTTTATAGCTACTTAAAAAATTCCAATCAATTGTATGTATTTCAGCATGTATTTCTGAGAGAATTGTATTGCTAAATATACGTTTTTTTAGCATTTTTACTTGTGTGTTGCCATCTATAGTTGTTATTGGAAAAGATATCTTCTGCGCTGTATGATCGGAAAGAGTTGAAATGATTACTTCACTGTTACAACTTTCTATGTTCACATAAATATTGTCAATAAGTGAGCTGGAATATTCAATTATCCGTGTTGGTTTGTTGATAGTTGGTCTAAAATTGTGTCGGTTAAGCATTTCTAACAATCTGAGAGTATTAGTATTTCTATTTTCTAGATTTATATTGAAATCACCAGTTAATAATAATTTAGTTTTCGATGTTTGCGGTGAACATTCTAATAGTATGTCCTCTAAAATGTTAAAAAAGTGTTGTATATATCCGATTTTGGTGATCGGTATATACAGATAATCGTTACGTTTTGTACATTTAATTTTATAGCACTACATTCAATAACAAATTCTTTACTTTTGCTTTTATATTCATCAGCTCCGTGTACTATCATTACGTACTAGTATACAGCTGCCTCCATGTTGATTGTCTGTCTTGTGTAATTTTATCAAACACTGTAAGGTGGGATGTAGAGGGTTCATGGGCATGTATTTTTTGGTCGAGGGAAAAAATTTGTTTAAGGTATTTGAAGACTTTTTTAGTATATTTTTTAGTTTATTAATAAAAGAAGGAAGAGGGTCTTTTTGGAGTATGGTAATATTATTATCATTAAAGAAAGATATAAAGTTTTAGATATACAGGTGTATCTGAATGACTGCAACAAACTTCAAGGGGTGATTCTTTAGTGAATTTTAAGGGTACTTTGATATATGAACCATAGGCGTCTTCGGCTCCCCTAAGGAGCTACACCCCTCCAAAAATAGCGGAAAATTTTGGTTTAATTTCTTTTTCTCAAAAACCATAAACGCTAGGAAAATGAAATTTGGGGAATATGTTTAACTCATAATAGGGCACGTTTTGACCCTATTTGTACTTTCAATCTACCCTTCTAAACTACTAAATGTAACCACCCCCTTTGCATTTTTGCGAAATTTTTTGTTATGCAGATGATAAATACATTAGAAAGATTGGGAAAATTAGAAAAAGGGGTGTAGCTCCTTAGGGGAGCTGAAGTCGCCCATGGTTCATATATCAAAGTACCCTTAAAATTCACTAAAGAATCACCCCTTGAAGTTTGTTGCAGTCATTCAGATACACCCTGTATAGTTTATAGGCGTCTTTTACACTCCCGGTCCCACTATGGACAAGGGTTCCAATTTAGTCGTCGCTTTTTTTCCTTTTTTACTCGTCTGTGAGATAGCACTGTGGATTCCCAAGAGTACATCATGGTATGTACAGGATGGTTCAAATTCGACGTCCAAATAGGCTAACTCGGAAACTATAAGAGTTAGAAAAAAAAGTAGCTTATATGTCATGATCTCGTTTTTCAAGAAACTGCTAATGCCGAAAACCTCAAAGCGCTATCATCTTTTGTTTTTCCCCGAGAAGCCAAAATTGAAAATATCGTAAAACCAACAAGTGCAATTATCTTGGTTATTATTATAGGTGGAGTATTATAACTAAAACATTATATGGACACTTTTTTACAAAGAATTTCATGACGTAGTCAAAAAAAATTTTTCGGTTTTAGATTTTGAGATATCATGACAATTTTCGTTTTTTTAAATGGAAACAACCACTGATTATTCGCTTATTAACTTCGTTATATTTTTCTGATTACAAAAATATAGGGTTTAACAGGTCTATTTCTTATTGTTTTAGAATAAAGCTAAAAATAAACTTTTTTTTAGTGTCATTAAAGAAATTAATTTTACAGTTTCCTGTAATTTAT